GTCAGGGATTATTCCACAGGAATGTCAGCCCAGTACATGCTGAATATTATCAGGACAGGACTTTTTTTTTTTTTTTAAGAAGCCAAATATCTAGGGTGTTCACTTGGAATGCTGCATTTGATAGACAGCCTTCAGGAACATGAAGCGGAGTGAAGGGCACATTTCATCCTTACAACCCTCTCTTAAAAAGGGAAAAGTCTTCGTCTTGCCCACTTTTGGAGTGCAACCTTAACATGGTCCACAAGCCCAGAGTTACCCTTTGGGCAATGGAATTTACATCTTCCTGAACTCCTGATGCTAAATCAGAGCATCAGGATAAGACTTTGCAGAGAAAGCCTATATTCCACTAGTGGAATATGCTGGGCAGGGCTAGCTTGCCAGATTCCTAAACATACATTTTGTCCTAAGGAGCAGGGCACCCATAACAGCCATTACTATCCCGAGACTAAAATTACCAACTGAAAAAAACAGCAGTTTTGTTTGGGGAAAACCAGTACCTTCAACAGTATTATGAATGGAAGGGCAGCTATCTTGACAGAGAGCCAGTTTGGTGGGGTGATTCAGGAATCAAGCTAGAAACTGGAAGATTACAAGTTCTGGATTTGCTTTAGGCACAAAGCCAGCTGTGCAACCTTGGGCCAGTCACTCTTTCTCAGCCCTAGGAAGGAGAGAAGGGCAAACTACTCCCAAAATCTTGCCAAGGAAACTGCCCAGAATTTGTTCAGGCAGTTGCCAGGTGTTTACACTGACTGAAAGGCACCCCAAAATAAATACAAATAAAAAAAAAATTAAACAGAAAAAACAGTATCTCAGCAGGTAAACCAGGCAAAGTGAAGAAATAAAACCAGAAATCATTCTACTTTTGAATGTAGACAGTTAAGCAGCATTTATCTCTATTCACACCATCTGCAGGACTCCCATTAGTAGCCCTATCAGTCATTTATAATACCTCAAAATTCTTATATGGAAACCATGGTTCCCTTAATCCCTATCCAAGGGATAGGGAACTGTTATCTCAAGATATTTTGGATGACAGGACCTAGAATCCTTTGTCAATGGTTAGGCTGGTTGAGGCTTATGAGAATTGAAAGCCCAAATATTGATTGCTTCTTTGGTTCTTTCTTCCCGGCTCTGAAAATAGACCTATTCAATCCTACTTAAAATGAAGCCTGCAGTCCTTTATTGCATTATAAATCTTGGGCAGGCAGGAACCCAATTAGCATTTCTGATTGAAAATGGATGATGAATAATCTGCTAGCCGAAGACCTGAAACATTCTGAAAATAATTCTTTGATCAAGCACGGAACACCCTTTTTTAAATATGATTCTTGATCTGCTTTAAAATTAGGAAGGAACTCAGTATTTGCCTCCTTGTTTTTTTATTGCACCATTCTTTCCCTGGCAGGCATCTCACCCTTTTGTGAATTACTTTCTCCTCCTTTCTTAGGGTAGAATTAATCATATGGATGTTCCCACCAAATCAGGGCACACACAAACAATAGGATGCTCCCTAGCCAATCAAATCTGGGTGTGGTGTTCCTGAGCTGTTTCATGGAGGAAAGGGAAATGAGGGCAAGTTAAATGATTAAGTAATTAATATCCTAAATGAGTTCTCTCTCTCTCTCTCTCTCTCTCCCTCTCTCTCCCTCCCTCTCTCTCTGGGACAAAAATTAAAAAGTTAACACTATAGTGTGAATTGTAGTCTTGTCTAAGGCCTGAGGCCAGCCTGAGGGTGACCTTGGGCCAATCACTCCTTCTCAATCCTAGCAAGAAGGCAACAACAGCAAGCTACTTCTGAAAATATTTCCAAGAAAATTGCAGGGACTAATTCAGGCAATCACCGGAAGTCACTCAAAAGCACTCAGAAATAAAATAATAATAAAACCAATTATGCATGCAGGTCTACTTTCTTCCGATGCAAGTAGTGAGAACGACTTGCACATTTAAGAATTTCAACCTCAATCTTTTTACGCCCTTTAGAGGCCCAACAGCTGTACACTTTCAAGAGCTGCCTCTTGGTGGGAGCCGAGGGGAAGCAAGACTATTGTCTCCATCTTCCCTTCCTCGGCTTCTCCAAAGGTGCTAATTGACTTGCCTTGGGCTATGATGCTTCAATGCATGTTGTTTGCCAATGCTTTTGTTGCAGGATGAGCTATTGGGAGGAATGAGGGTTTTGAAAGAAAGGTCAGGTTTTCCGGCTGAGATCTTAACTCAGCTTCATTCACTTTCCCACTGCTAACTGCCGGCCCAGTGTCCTGAAAATTGAGGCACCCAGAACACGGATGCTTCTGGGCTAGAATAATCCTTTCAATTGTTTTGTGTGCCAGAAACGCTGAATACACCCTGACAGAGAGGAAATGACCACAATGAGAGGAAGAAAAGGGAGAGGTTTATTACTTTATTTAAAAGTAAACTGTTAAGGGATTACACACAGGCCCAGGCCCTGGGCTTTCTCTCAACCACAAGCAATAGCACAAATCACTTCAACACAGGCATTGTTATGGCCGTCCTTGAGAGGAAAGATCTGAAAACCGGAGGCAGAGTAAAACTCTTTGTAGAATCCCTGAAATAAAACAGAGACAAATAAGTAGGATAAAAGGACAGCTTCAGTTTACAGTGCTGCAATCCTGTCACACCTCTGACAAATTTATCTTATTAAAAATAAATAAATGCTAAGGTCACATTGAGGTCAATGGAAGGCTCTCATATGGCCCTTCCTGTTAAAGCTGTTACAGTAATGTTCACATCAAGTTAACTGCTGCCCAGGTTAATGCAGCCAATCCTTACTGACGGATACTTAAGGACTAAACAAGCTTCCATGTTTCTTAGCTGAGGGGAATGTCGACTCTACTGATTGAGGATGATGAGAATGAAAATCCAACATAGCTTGAAGACCCCAAGTTGGAGAAGAGTATCTTAAGAGATAGGGCAAAGAAAATATACACCACACAATGCTGAGAAGGTCTTCTTAGCTAGCATCTATTGAAGTTTAATTACATTACAATTATAAAAATTGAAATTCAATTCATGGTAATAACAACTTGACATTCATAATTAGCATTGGAAGAAAAATGCACAGTAGAAGGATGGCAGAGGCTGCAGTAGCAAATTACAGCAACTAATCCAAGACAGCTTTGAGGGTTATCTGGCCATGTTGCTGCACCTCCAGACGCTCAAGGATCAGAGTTTGACAAATTCTGATCCAAGGTTACCTCAGATCAGAACTGTTTGCCACTTACTTATTTTGCAAGTCCTCTGGCAATAGTTCTTGGCTTTAAAAAAAAAAGCATAAAAATAGAATGCAAAACACACATTTGAGTAAAAATGCATGTAAAACGTAATTTAAATAAACAGACATAATTTAAACATCAATAGTGTGACTAGCTGCTATGCTAATTAATGTGCAAATGGAAAAGAACAGATTCTATGGGTAACAGAAAATGACCCTTCATGACTGCTGAGCATGGGAAGATGCTTTTAAAATATGTCCTTCTTATCAGTTTCAGTGTGAAGCCCCACATAATATTAGCAAATGCTGATGTAAAAATGAGTGCAAACTGTTGCCCCCCCCTTCTCTCTCTCTCTCTCTCTCTCTCTCTCTCTCTCTCTCTCTCTCTCTCTCTCTCTCTCTCTCTCGTGACCGGCACTGACTTCCAAGAAACATGTGATGAACCTGCTTTTTCTAGCAGTTCCGGGTCTCCATATTTTCTCAGAATAAGAAAAAAGTCAAAGATGACGGTGTACCATAAAAATTAAAATAAAAGGTTTAAGGATGAGATAATCTGCATATAATGGAAGTAGTATTATGGAGAACCGATGGATTCCTCTTGTCTTTGGGCCAATTCAATATTTTTGCGATTCAAGTAGCACAGCTATACTATTACAGTTCACAGTCATGAGGGACTGGACATTTGGTCTCCTGCAATTAGTGGCTAGGCTAAAATTATTTCCTCAAGTGGTAAATTCAGATGAATTTTATACAAAGAAAAGACTTAAATAAAACCAGTAAATGAGAAAGCTGAAATAAATCCCCTATAACTCAATTCCTTCTGGTATCAAGGGTTTAGTTAGTGCACACTGGATTCCAAATCCCTCTACAAGAATTGCTAAATGGCATCATTCCAGAATAATGGTTGAAGCCAAGTCCTAAAGAATGTTTACCTGAAGTCATGTCGGAGACCGGTGTTACATGTTGCGGAATATAAATGCCTTCAATAAAAGCATTCGTGATTCATTTTGTTGTGGCTGGAAAAGGAACACCAGAGTGAAGGGTCCTCGGTGCTCTCTGAGCTTGCTTGTTTACTTGTGGATGTTTCATTACCCAAACTAGTTCTAGTACTGATGATGTTACCTAGTTTGAGTAATGGAAGGTCTACAAGGAAACAACCAAGCACAGAGAGCACCAAGGACCCCTCATTTCAACCCTGAGATACAAATATTCTCCTTTATTGGGACACCAGAATGTTCTCACCTTACTGGTGGGGTAAAAATTTATTTTACTCCTGCTGATATTTGAGAGATCCAGGAACAATCAGACCTTGCTCAATTAAGTATGCTGGCAAACAGTGGTATATAGGTACCAAGTTTTTATTTATTAGATTTTTTTTAAAAAAATCATTTATTTATTTAAAATAAATAGCTCAAGGCAGTGAACGTGCCTAATACTGCTTCATCCTCTTAGTTTCCCCACAATCACCACCCTGTGAGATGACCACTAGATCAAACTGCTTTTCAGAATCCAGAGACTCTACAAAATTTAGTCTGCGTTCTATAACAAGTTGAAAAAGGGGCTACAAAAATACTTCCAACTATGGCTGAATGCCTTAAGTGAATGAATTCTGCTGTAACTTTTTACACGTTTTCATATATGAAGCTAACCGAGATTAAATTGTACACCATTATTTAAATAACTTTGGGGATTCTGAAAGTCGTGTGGAGCAAAGATGCATTCTATGGAGAAAACTTGAGAAGAAAATAAAAAAGGAACTCAAGTATCTTGATTTTGATTTGTTTAAAAATGTTTTTTTACTTCATTTAGGGAGAAAATCCCACAGTATCTGTTAAAAAACAAATAGCAACAGGGACACGTGGCATGCAAAATTATTTTGAACATTCTTTTACATTAGTGGCAGCCAATTCAACACGCATTTTACACAGATTTATTTCTTTGTTCTCAAACAGGTAAACCAGAATTCTGTCATTCATACCATACTGAAAAATGGTCTATATGGGACTAAAATGAATCAGGCAACAAAGATACTATTTATAAACCAGATCATCTGAGGACTTATTTTTCACATTGTATAGTACAACAAACCAGTATTTTACACAGTCACTGGAGTAACAATTATTCCATTATACTTCTAAACCAGCATATGAATGAAAGGGAGTTGTATTTTTCTGAAGGCAGTCTAGTTAAAATGTTAATTTTACAGTCTTATTGCAACAAAGAGACAAAGAGAAAACTGCTAATTTGAATCTTGACTCAGATCACCAATGTAGAAATGGGTAGTGCTGTAAAGAAGAGTGATGCAGAAGATTGGGGCAAGGGTATTTTAACAAATTTAGTAAATTGCAGCTGATTGAACACCTGACATCAGTATGATGTGCTTCTTCCTATCTTAAATCCAGTTTATTGGAAGTTTTAAAGGGAAAAACTGGTTCTGCAAGATGTATCTGCCATTAGTATAGAAGAAGGAGAAACACATCAAGAGGCTGCCAATTAAATTGGTTTTATGAGGGGGAAAAATAAAAGCCAGACCTGGCAGAAGAAGAGAGATGGGTCTACATTTTATAAATGAGGTAGAAGCCAAGCACTGTGACAATGTGAAGGATAAGAGAGCTTTGGAAGCAATTATTCCAAATGGTTATGAAGAAAGTGACAGGATGTGTGGAGTGCAGAAACTACCCCATTTCTGTGTATGACATAATTTTTTTGTTGGGGGGGGGAGGGACAAAGTAGGCCTGATTTTGTTACACATTATTAATTTTGAGAAACAACAACAGAAAGTTATCCATGGGTTTTCCCCATATCCCTGAGGTGGGGCCACTCTTCACACGGATGCCATTATCAACTTGAGGAAGCCTGTCTGTGGAAAGGTCATTAGGTCTGAAATATGGTCATGTAAATATCAACCCTCACCACCCTGACCTTCCTTGGGAAATCAATGAACCATCACCACTTACATTGTACGTACACAACAAAAAAACAGAACTGAGTCATCGCCTTTAAATTAGGAATCGGCACAAAAAACCCTTAGAGCTTTATTATTGTATCCCTCCCCCGCATAAGGAGAGGGGAATAAAAATATATTTATATATGTATATATATTAAACCACTATTTAAGTACATACCCTATTCATAAATAACCAAACACTTTCTGCCATTGCAAAATTACTCATTGAGTTCTTTAAAATGATATCCACATTAAGACAAAAAAGGGGGGGAGGGTCTTCATGTTGGGTTAATTTGTGCATGAAAACAATAACACAAATCTGGGTTTGAGTGTGTAATATGTAATTCCCAAGTCTGGAGTATGTAGCAAAGCCAGTTTTCTTTTCTCCCCCCATTCTGCTCCCAGAAGTGAGTGTGTCCATTTGCAGATTCGGTCTGAATGTATTCTTCCCCCCCAAAACAGCTAGGAGGGGAGCATGTTGTGGGCCACAGCAGAACGTTTTGAAGAGCTTTCTTTGGGTTTGGCAAGATTTCCATTCCTGGGAGGGTGGGATTCCTGGAAAAAGATGCATTTTTTCTATGTCTGAATTCATTTCCTCTCATATAAATAGAAGCCAACGTTTCCACACAGGACATGCAAAATAGTGCAACAATTCCACTCATACTACTATACAACAGTCTGTTTCTGGACAGACCGAAAGGGGTCTGTTTTCAAGAAACTGCCAATGCCAATGCAGGGATCCTTTTGCTGCTGCAGCCTTCATCTCCAATCCACAGGAAGGAGCGTGCGTAGAACAATTATAAGGTCCGGACAGCTACAGGGTACAGGAGTGACAAATGTTCGGCTCCTTTGATAGGCAGTTTCTTTGCAGTGTAGTAGTGAATAACCTCAGGCACACTGTCAAAGGGAGGGCTGTTCTGACCCAAAATATACTTCTCTTTGGTTTTTGCCAACTTCATGTGCATAAAACCTTGGTTACTCCTGTTGGAGAGAGAGAGAGAGAGATGATATATAAATTTCCACAAGTTACCATCAATTTGTAAAGTCTAACCCAATTTTGATGGAAATATTTTAGGGAAGTTGATGATGAATATATTACATGAATGTAGAACATGCAAGGTTTATTAAAAAAAAATAGTTTTCCCATCTGCCTTTTGCACCATATGTAACAAAAGAAAAACAAAACAGAACATTTAGTTAATTAGACTGCTTAAAACTCCAGGGTGATCCTTAATGCAAATGACCATAACTTGTCTGCAGCTGCCTAAGGGATTATGGAATATTCACTGTGCTTTGGATTTTATTACTCACTTATTTATTTACTTATTATTCAAATTTTTTAAAGGTTTAATTTTATCATGAAATGCAGCATCTGTCAGCAGCTCCTGAAAGCAACTGTGCCTTTTCTTAGGATTTTGGAGCTGCCAAGAGATTCCGAAAAAAAAAGATCTATTTGTTTTAAGATTCTGTAGACACACACTACATTTTCCAATAAAGGAGAATATCTATAGCTCAGGGTTGAAACATCATCCTAATGCTGATGATGCTACCCAGTTTGGGTAATGACACATCTGCCAAAAAACAACCAATCTCCGAGACCACCCTCACTATATTTTCCCTTTTCTGCTTCTAAATTCTGAAACACTGCAGACCCCTATGAGGAAGTAGGATGCATTCTGAGGACTAAAGAGAAAGAGGTGTTGGCCCTGATCAACCATTAATATGTATAGTTATGTGCTGCATTACTGAGAATGATGCTATAAATAAATATTTTCTATCTCTAATTAGACTGAACCTATGAATATGCCCAAGTTAGGTTAATATGATAAAAATATAGACCAGTCTATGGGTTGCTTTGGATTTTATGACAAATGTGCAACGGGTCTGCATTCAGCTGTCATTTTTTTCCCTGCAAACAAATATCTCAGATAACAAATGCTCAACTAAATTTGAGGGGACAGAAACCCTCGTTGGATGATGCCTTCAGAGAAACATGTATAGCCTACTACTTAATTTATAATGAGCCAAAAAGTTAAAAAAGAAAAATCTAGTGAGAATGCCAGCTGCGCAGACAATCGAAAGAAGGCTGAGAGACTGCAGGGAAGGTGTTTGAGTTTGCGTCTCAAGGGCACAAAGAGTAATTTTAAATTGAGAATAGTGCCTTTATCCCCTCTTAAATTGCTTAAGAAAATTCAGCTTTTTTCATAGGGCATGGGGATATCTCCATCCTGTGAAAAAGCTGAAGCAAATTTCAGGCTCACATTATTCAAATTTTCCAAGGCAATTTTGTGATGAAATGACCCTTTTCTATAGAGCAGAAATCACTGCAGGCATTGTAATTATAGCTCTGGCACGCTTAAAAAAATCTTGATTTAAATTTAAATTCTTTACAAGAATGATTGTCTTTTGAAACGTAATTGTTCTCTAAGCGATTTCCTTTAAGCCAAGGGTGACATCTCTAAATACTTATTATGAGCAGATATATTGTTGTATCCCTTCAAGTTTATTATGCTTCTTTACCCTCCTCTAGTAAATGCTCTAAGATCCTGACACCAAATTAATGGGATTGTAAAAACAGGTGCATATTAATTCAAGACTAGAGTAGAGGGCAATCTGATGAGACGTCTTTTTAGATTTAATGCAAGAACAGAAGATACTGGTTAAATTTGTTTGTCTGAAGTTAGAATGATTATCTATTGATCTCTGGATCATACAAAAGATTGGTTTGGGATTTAGTTTATATACTGGGTCACGATGAGTTTTTTTATTACTACGGTACCCGTTATGGTTTATAAATCATGTTTTATAGTTTGATGTGATATGTGAATGCAACCAACTACGAATCAGTCAAGTAACCATGAATAAAGAATGTACGGCTTAATATTCAGACAATATGAAGGTTTTTGTCTATTTATATTGAGGGAATTATATTGAAAGATCTGAAAGAGTCTCTGAAGAGTGGGCTACTTTAGTACCAACTTATTACACAGGATTCTTAATGGCAGAATATTAGAAGAGAAAATCATATTCCCAAGTCTAGTTTTCCAAGCCTACTTCCCTGAAGCATATTACATTGCCAAATTACATTTCCTTGTATTTGTAACTATGCAAGACATGAAAATGCATCCTAGACTGTCTTATCTGTAATGGGGGGGGGAGGGTGTTAAAGCACCAGAGGGCAGGACCAGAAACAATGGTTGGAAACTGATCAAAGAGAGAACCAACCTCAAATTAAGGAGAAACTTCCTGACAGTGAGGACAATTAACCAGTGGAACAGCTTGCCTCCAGAAATCATGGGCACTCCATCACTGGAGATTTTTAAGAAGAGGCTAGACAGTCATTTGTTTGAGATGGTATAGGTTCTCCTGCTTGAGCAGGGGGCTGGACTAGAAGACCTTCAAGGTCCCTTTCTATTCTATTCTATTCTATTCTATTCTATTCTATTCTATTCTATTCTATTCTATTCTATAGGACAATTTTTAATCTGTTAGACATAGGAATATGATATGGAGACTGGCTTTCATTGGCTGTCCTATTATCTTGCAACATAATCATGCTTTAGGAATCCTGCTAAATTCACAAAGCTTTGAACTGATTGCTCTTCTTCCAGAACTTTTACAACTCCATACAAAAGTTTAGGCACCACTAGTCAAATTGTACATTCTTGGACTCCTGAAGCGAACAGAAATTGACACAACTTCTACATGGTAAAAAGTTAAATGCAACATCCTTCTGAAAATGTGAATGGATATCCTTATGATTTATGGGTAGTTATTTACACATTCAAAATAAATAAAAACAGTGAATATAGCAGGCCAAAAGGCTGCATACATTTTCAGTCAATACCTGTTTTGCAAGAAACAACAGCTTTCAAATATTTCCTATAGTCACCTCTAAGAGTCTTTTAGTTCTTGTGTTTGGATTTTTGCCCTATTCTTTCTTGTGGAACTCTTCTAGCTCATAAATAATTTTAGATCTTGGAAATATCCAACCTTTCTTTTTAACTTCATTTTTTCACTGAACCCACAATCGCTGCAAAGGACTTGCCAAAACATTTAACTGACACTAGAGTAGTTGCCCAAAAGTCCTCTATGCAATACTGATTATATAACAACAATCTTCATCAGAGAGTTATCAGAAAGAAATATTTTCTCTAATCTCATCACAGGTCATTGTTTCAGTGACGCAAACACATAAACCAACAAACTTTGATAAGCCTGAAACCCTTTGAACAAGGTGCTTTAGACTGATAAAAACCAACGTTGACTTCCTTAGGTACTACATGAGAAACATTTGAGAAAAAATTGTCTGAGGAATCTTAAGAAAGGGATATTTTGCCAGTCATTAAGCAAGAGGGTTATATGACATCCAGTAGCACAGGAAATATTGTTTAGGTCAGTGTTTCTCAACCTTGACAATTTTAAGGCATGTGGACTTCAACTCCCAGAATTCCACAGCCAGCATTGCTGGCTGTGGAATTCTGGGAGTTGAAGTCCACATGCCTTAAAATTGTCAAGGTTGAGAAACACTGGTTTAGGTGGAAGGAAGAATGGATTCTACTAAAGTTCAACATTTCCAAGAAGTTAATGTTCCACAGTCAGTGAAGAAATTGAAACTGAAAAGACCTTGGAAACATTAGCAAAACAACAGTCCAAAATAGTTTCCCAAATCAATCACGAAGCAATTACAAGAGAGAAAGAGAAAGTCTTTGGAATGGCTGCCATGGTTCCCAAACTTGTATATTACTTTAAAAAATGTAGGAAGATCTCAAACATAAAATGCATGCAAAAAGTCCACAAAATATTCTTGAACTAGAAGAAAGAAGGAACTGCAAGAAAGCACACAAAAAGCAATAACAACAACAACAATAATAAAATACCTAGCTGCCTATAGCAAATATTTTGAAGCTGTTTCTTCTGCCAAAGAAGGGCTACAAGATACTAATTGAAAGGGTGCCCAAATTTCCTTACCTGCTGTATTCAGTTTTCTTCTCCCCCCCCTCCCAATTCCCATTAAGCTTGATTTGGTTAATAACATGAGACATGAGATCAAATAGGGAATTTGAATGGAACGTTTTCCATGATCATGCAGCTGACTGCATGAACTGGATTTTTTGACAGCTCTTGTTCAAAAGTCTATCAGGCTTGCCTTTCTAACTGCAGACACAACAGAGTGCCTGTAAATTGGGAAAGCTACTGAATGTGATCTCCCAGTCTTAATCTTTCATCTCTAGATATTATTATCTTCCAGCCTGTATAACTTTACCTAGCTTCCTCTTGCCTCTAAGATCCCAAGGGTCAAATATTCCTTGCCCTGCAATCAGCCAAACACATACAAATTGACTGGCTTAAAACACATTTATTCCCTTTAATGCCCATGATGTACCCTTAAAAGGCAGGTAGGCTAATTTGTCAATCACATTCTCCTCAATCACTTTATTGCATCTGGCTCTACATAGGCTACAAGGTAAAAAGAACAGCCGGATGAATTCTTCAAGAAGGCTTCCTGGGAAATTCCTACTTAAAGTATGTCTGCATGCAAAATAGCTACTTTGATGATGAAATCATTTCCAAGTTAACAGGAAGGAAACTTTTGAAAACCTGGAAAATTATTGATTCCCCCTTTTTTCAGTCACATTTGTGGGGTTTGTTGCCAAATCCAATCTCAATTAAAAGCAGGCCTGGAGAAACTCCAGCAAATAAAACCAGGAAAGGCTAACCAGGGAAGCAGTTTAATGAGTAACTAGAGGAGGGAACCTATTGGATGCAATAGGTCACACAGAGATGTCTGTGGGAGAATGTTGGCAAGTGAGAAGCCGAAGCTGGCATCTCTGCTAGAAAAGGAAACAGCCTATATGATTAGATAAGAGCAGTGTTACAAAAGGTCTTGGAGGCAGAAAAAGAATGACTAAACAAACTTATGAAATCTCCTCTCTTGTTTTGGCAGCTAATGGACAGCCTGGCTAATAACTGGTAAGGAT